ACTTCTCAAATTATGGTAATAAAGACTGCACTTTTTAGGCATTTTTTAATATGCATTTCTTGGGGAGCTATGGGAGAGAGTTCACGGAACTGCAAAACGCCTATACATACAGTTCTGTTGGGTTTTATTTTCGCTGGACTGTATCAAAGTGATTATTTAGGGACTGTCAGAGCTATGTGTTTTTTCTGAAAGTATTTAGGAGGTACTGAGTGGTGCGAAGCTAGTAGTCTCACTCGATTGCATTGTCTGTCTACTAACACCTATTGTTGGCTTCAGAAAAATATTGCTGCTAGCCAGGCTGGGCCTTAGCCTGTTACTGCAGCGCTTGTCAGAAATCATTAGCTAGTGATCTCTTTGACTAATGTTCCACTTGATTGTCTGATTCATGTTCAAGATCTGTAAATGAGGCAGAAGCGTCTTTACTGCTCGCCAGCTGTGAAATGGCTAAACACAGCTAGATTTTCAGGAATCAAAATAAATGTATTTCCAATAAAGTTTGACAACAATATCAAGTGCAAAGCTGAGAGCAGAACTATGTTTTTGTGTTTTTTAAAGTTACAGTACTATAAATCAATATTATTCCATCATGGTTTTGTCAGAGTAATGTGTTTTACCAAAACAGTGAAATACTGGTAGTAGCATTAATCTTGTGTTGAGTTGGATAGACTTTCTTTATTCAACATAAATTCATACCTTCGATTTTTATTCTTTTGTCCATTATCCCCAGATATATCAATGTTTAGCACAGCCTATGTCCTTTTGTCTGAGTCCTCAGTGTATGCTAATGAGGTGTGTGCATGTTTTTATGTACGTGTAAAAGAAGTACAGGTGTGACAACAATAAAAAAATAAAGAGTGGGATTTTGGGGAGAGGGAGCCTTGGGGGACGAGCTGGTGTGTCTGTTTTATATTAATGGAATAACCCCACGAGTGTCACACGGGTGTAATGCTGAGATAACTGAGAAGCAAATCTGGGCCTGAGATCTGACTAATATTTTTCTTGGCAAAGGAGGTAAACATGAAATTCACCGCTATCTAGAGAATTAGTGCCAGAGCTATACTACAAATAGGCTCTAGTTTGAGGATTTAAGCAAAGCTTGTTACTTTATTTTTCCACTGTAACTAATGGTAGCCACAATAGACTTGCAAAGACCCCAGAAGAGAGTTGATTTTGTAAACAGATGCTCGGACAGCAGCTATCCTCCTTCTGGGTGCACCTGCATCCAGCCTTTAGTGCTAAGCAAGAAAACAAGGGAAATTGTACAATGCATCCTGATTTATTTATTTTTTTTTGTATTTTGGAGCCATAAAAACTGCTACTTTTTTTTTCATTCCCCCTGCGTACACCAAAATAACAGCTAATGGCATGTGGGACAGTTGTCTGTAATGTGGAAGGCAAAGTTGAAATCTTCACCCTGCCAGCTTCCCATATTCTGCACAAATGAGAACCAGTGATTGAAACCCACTGTTCATTTCTGTATTAGACTTTGATTTTCATTTGTTTTGTTTTGTTCTGTTTTTTAACCAGTATTTCCATTGCAGACCCACAGAAGTAAGAAGTTTGAGACAGTCAGTGTGCTTGGTCACATAGAGCCAAAAACTAGTTTGTGACCAGAATCAGTGCAGTTTTTATGTGTTTTATTTTGTTAAACTTACCTTACATTTTCATTTTAGAGGTAGAAAGAACTGTACGTTATTCTAATCTGTTCAACTGCATATACAATGATCTTTTTCCACTAGTTGCTGGGAGTATCAAACTGGCTTTGAAACAGTATGGAAATTTTATAATGGAGCCTAGCATGATCAGGATAAATCTATTGCGACAGCTTCCTTCCTCAGAATTCTTTGTACATAGCAAATTAAAAAAAAAAAAAAAAAGGCAACAACAAAACCACAAGACTTTTTTCCCCTTCAGTAACTCTAAATCTCTGTAAAACTTCATCTGAGTTTTTAGAAGGAATTCCGGCCAGATTTGTATGATATCCGGACCCACTCTTTTTAATGTACGTTACCAGTATAGATTCTTATGTAGTCCCATTCAATATCTCTTTATACAATGTTATCTATTTTTATTTACATTTCCTTAACAAAAAGAAAATTACCAAGATGACATTTTAATGCACAATATTTGCTATAGAATACTGAAGCAGAAGCATGTTACCTTAATACGAAGACTTCTGTTGTCTAAAACAATTTTTCCATCCTTTTAGTTTGTGTAATGACAGGTGTATTCTCTAAGACCACAAATGCAGCAAAACTCCACATTTGTGTACAGTTTTCAGTATTAATTATTGATGTGTTCCACCTCTTCCTTTGATGTCACTGTCCTCTGCACAGATTGACCAAAATATATGTAAAAGACCCATTTCTGGCTGTACTTCTGTCAAAAGGTAGAACAACTTTAATGGGAGACTATAAATTCCATCAGATCCAAATGATACGTGTTCCCAGTATTTATCCACTTGTCCAAGAGCTAGTAAGTATCTGGCCCAACCATGCCCACTCACAATACTCTCTTGCCCCTTGTATGTCTTCTCTTACATGGTATTCATAGGAACCCGGTCAGATGGACTGGTTGTTCGTATCCCATGAAAATAAACAGGAAAGTTTTCATGTCCATTTGTTGTTTTCAGCCTCTTGCAGATTCTGGCAGACATAACTGTGCCAATTCTGCTCAATTTGCCAACATGTAAGCTTCCTAATTTTTCATTTCAAATGAAAATGAAAAGTCTGCTGTAATTGCAAGAGGTGCTGGGTGAAATCCCCTAGTGCTTACATGTTAATCCAGCATTTTATCCTGCCCTAGCTCCTCTTCTTTTTCTGTCCTGATTGTTGCAGGTAAGGCATGCACCATAAGTGAGGAGGCCCCTCTTCACTTCCTCCCCATGAATATATACTGGGCCGTTGTAGCATAGCGGGGCACTTTCCATTGAGAATGTGTCCCTTTTGGTGTGCCTACGTAGTATCTGAAGCTGGAGGAGTTATTTAAAATATAGACCTAAGGAGTATGTTTTCTCGTGTAATTTATCAAGATTTCCTCCCTTTCATGTGGATGATTTAATTATTGTTATTTCATCATTATTTAGAATGAAACATTGGATTCATGTAGAGTAGTAGTAACCAAAATGAGCACTTTTCATCAATATGAATGAGTGGTTTTATTTATTTACTTCTTTCTAGCGGCTGTTGCAGAGATGCCATGAACCAACTTTTTTCTTTCGCTATTCTGTCTATGGTTTTTCGTTGGTTTTATCTGTGCTTTTTAGGCTTTGTGATACTTTTGATAGGAAAAAAAGTACAGTAGCCTAAGCCGTAGGTGCCTCAGTAACCTTTCTGTGCTAGACAGTAACCACTAGAGGCCCTGTGTCCTAGTTTAATATAGCAGAAGCCGGTTTAAAGTAGGAGTGATTTCAGTCCATTATATAAAATTTTGGAAGCCTCCTGTCACTTGTGGCAGGTTTTCTGACATGGGCTTGGTTATTACAAATGTTGTAGGTCCTCTGAGTTAAACGCAAAACCAAGAACTGTTTCTTGGACACTTGCTTGCGTTTCTGTTACCATCCTGGATTATTAGAAGGATGCACTGGAGGCCTTGACAACTTTGAGTATGCATTCAGTTTAGGGCAAGTTCTGAACTGATGTGACAACTTCCTAACTGAGTTGCCCTTATACTCTTCATCGCTTATGCATTAATAACTCAATTGACAATGACCTTCAAGCGTAGGATGCAATGCTGATGTACATGAGAACATAACTGATAAGAAAGTACTTGAGGGATGATAAATAGTGCAGTGCACATTAATAAATGCTACTTTTTGTGCACAGAGAGCTTACTTAACTAAAAAGTAAGGGCCTTGTCCAGGGGTACTCCTGCATATAGTAAAACTCTTTCAAGAACTAGGAAATCTGAGTAGTGGCAACAGTGATAGAAATGGTGACATCCATAGCATTAGCACACACAGGTTGTCTTCTTTTGAACCATGCACTTTGCCAATGACAAGAGATGCAGTCTTAATATAAACTGCCCTATCTTTTACCTCAGTATAAATAGGCATCTTGGGGCATGCAGGATATTGTCGATTGTCCCTGGACGTCTCCCATCCCCCCTCCAAGCTGGTAAATGACATTCACTACTTCTTTCTTGGAAATGTGCAAAAAGGATTTCCATAGATAGTCTTTGGAGATTTCCTGTTTTCTCATGTGTGTAATAGGTTGGGTCAAGCAACAAAGAGGAGGGAAGAAAGAATAGGATTTAATTTTATATGCAGTCTTCCATCGTCACTATTGGGAAAAAAATGGGTGAAAAGAGAAATTATGCAATACAGGTGATGTCAGTGTTAAATTAAATTAAGATCATATGTTTTTATGCAGCAGCTGTAAGCCGTCGGTTATGGGAGGGGTCATGATACTAAAGTACCTTCCAAACGAATGTTAACAAATTGCTTGTGTGTGTGAATAATTAGTCATAAAAATAACATTATCTGCAGTATTTTAAGCCAATATAGTTTAAATGTATAACCTATAATTTATTCACTTTTCAGGCATCTGAATTGTACTAAGAAAAGTTGTCATAGTAACAGTTTAAAGAAAGAAAAATGATGTTAAGTTATATTTCAGCTTATCATTCTAAAACACTATGAATGCAAAGGATACCATCTTAAGGTATTGATTATCAGAAATTCATAAAAGCACAGCCTCTTAAAATATTTTAAATTGTGGATAAGGAAATTTATATTGCAAATCAGGTAATACCTCTTTGGTTTTTGCAAAGTGCCAAAACACAGGGATTTAAATGCAAATTATGTATTTTTAATTTGTAATTATTGAGTAGTTTCAAACAACTATAAGTACTGATCAAAATCCTAGTCCTGTTACAGCTAATTAAAGAAGAAACAAGTGGAAAAACTTTAATTTTGTGTTCAATTTGGACACAGAGACTGGAAAAAAAAAAAGGAAGTTCTTAGCATTGTATTTATTGGATTTTATTTTCCTGTTTCACAGATGTTGAACACCTCTGTAAAAATCTTCACAGCACTTTGCGATTCTGCTGGCCTAGGCAGAGCATATGCAGCTATAGCCGAGATCCTGGTAAGGTAGGTTAGCACACCCTTGTCTGACTGTCAGTGCAGATTCATTCAGCTGTGAAAGACTTAAATTGTTAGAGGTCTGTCGCTTCCCATTACTGACTGCTTAAATTTTAAGCAGTGCCCTTCGTGCAGTAAGTGACCCTTTCATCAAAAGTTATCTTAAGCTGGTACACATTTTTTACAGTGTATGATCCAAGCTTTTCTTTAGCTGTAAACTATAGTATGTCCTTTTTTCCCCACGTTTGGGGGCTTGCTTTCCCCCTCTCCCACCAGGTTTGTGAGGGACCTTGCTGGAAAATAGAAATCCAGACATATTTTCCAAGTTAAAAAAGACAGAAAACCTTGAAGAATGTAGCAAGCTTCGGTAGGTGTCTCAGTGTAATCTCTTCTGAACTGTAGGTTTCCATTTATTGAACTCACTTCTTCTGTTGAAGCACTTCTGGTGTGTGCATGTGTAACTAGATGTAAATTGGTTGCAAATAAGATATTTGTGTTCACTGTTTTTGTTTCAGCATCTGATATTAAAATCTTCTTCCAGGTGAATTAGTTTGAAACTACTCCAGATTCTTACACAAATAATTTTGGCAGAAAGTAGTCTAATGCAGTTATCATATGAAGTAGGAAAAAAAGATATTAAAGTGAAGGTTGCAGCTTATGCTTGATTCATCCTATGTTTGGGGACTTCAGTGCATATGCTGTGTGATAGAGGTTGGCAAATTGTTTATGGAGGAAGACTTGTCGCCGGGTTTATTTCAGTGTGCGGAGCAAATTCTCTTGTTTGAGTTTGATCCCTTGTCTCTTGGCCTTTCAGAGCATATGTGGACCAGCCACAATCACGGTTCTCTTCAGCTCTCTGATACATAATTCATGGCTACTCATATTCTGAGCATCCTAAATAAGCACATGGGATAAGATGTTCAAAAAGCCACAAAACAGACTTAGAATACCAAGTCCCATTTTCAAAACTGACTTAAGCCTAACTGAGAAATATTTAATTGCTTGGACACCAGCTGCTACAATGAGTGACTTTGCAATGAGTGCAAAAGTGTCTGAGCTCTCAGTAGCATTCCTGGGTTCCTTCTACTCACAAAAAGCAGCAGTCTGGGTCGAGGGTGGCCTAAGGTAGCCAAGGGGACATTCCTAGAAAACCATGTGTATTAATTTCCTCTCTCTGTGATTTAGGCATTCTGGAATGAGAGCACATACATTTATTTACTCAGAAGTTACAGATTTGAAGATCCTTCTGAAGTCAGGTTGCTAAACCCTTCATCTGAAAGACCATGCCAGTGCAAATACTTTTCTTAAAAACAGAGCTAAAGAAGGAGTGGCTAGTGATTTTCTTCTGCATCAAATCTGTACTCCACACCTTCTGGAAGCTTTCTCTAGTTATCTGGGAATGGGCAGTCTCACTGCTTTTGAATTTTTGCAATGTGAAAAGAGGAAAACCAGTAGGTAAGGAGAAATGAGAGGGGAAAGTAAGAGCAGTAAGACTTCCCAGTTTAGTATTTAAGGCCCTCTCCTAGGAGAGGAACATTCTGATTGATTCAAGTGAAGGAGGAACTCACTCTCATGTCTAGAGTCAGGGATTTAGCTGCTAATCTATTGCACAGGTTAAGACACAACCATAAATCCTTCCTTTGGAAAATGGCTGCGGTGGTATTTTTTATAAAACCCATCTGGTAGTTATGCCCTGAGAGTGTTAACCAAATTAAACATCTTACACATGTGCCTGCTTTGAAGAGCTTTAGCTACCTGATAGGTATAAACTGCTCAGCCCTGTAAAATATCATGACAATTCTCAGCATCTTTCAGCCATTTGAGAAACGATGTGGAAAAGTCTGGGCACTTATGAATCATAGAATCATAGAATAGTTTGGGTCGGGAGGCACCGTTAAAGGTCATCTAGTCCAACCCTCCCTACAATGAACAGGGACATCAACTCGATCAGGTTGCTCAGTGCTGTGTCCAATCTGTCCTTGAATGTTTCCAGGGATGGGGCATCTACCACCTCCCTGGGCAACTTCTGCCAGTGTTTCACTGCCCTCGTTGTAAAAAATGTCTTCCTTAGATCTAGTCTAAAGCTACTCTCTTTCAGTTTAAAACCATTACCCCTTGTCCTATCGCAACTGACCCTGCTAGAAAGTTTGTCCCCATCTTTCCTATAAACACCCTTTAAGTACTGAAAGGTCTCCCCGGAGCCTTCTTTTCTCCAGGCTGAACAGCCCCAACTCTCTCAGCCTTTCTTTAGAGAAGAGGTGCTCCATCCCTTTGATCATTTTTGTGGCCCTCTCTGGACTCGCTCCAACAGGTCCTTGTCCTTCTTGTGTTGGGGGCCCCAGAACTGGATGCAGTACTGCAGGAGGGGTCACACCAAAGCAGAGGGGCAGAATCCCCTCCGCCGACCTGCCAACCACACTTCTTTTGATGGAGCCCAGTATACAGTTGGCTTTCTGGGCTGCGAGCACACATTGCCAGCTTGTGTCCAGCTTTTCATCCACCAGTACCCCCAAGTCCTTCCTGGCAGGGCTGCTCTCAATCCCTTCCATCCCCCAGCCTGTATTGATACCAGGAGTTGCCCCAACCCATGTGCAGGACCTTGCACTTGGCCTTGTTGAACCTCATGAGGTTCACATGGGCCCACTCCTTGAGCTTGTCCAGGTCCCCCTGGATGGCATCCTGTCCCTTGGGCATGTCAACCACAACACTCAGCTTGGTGTCGTCTGAAAACCACTTGATCCTGCTGTCTATGTCACTGATGAAGGTATTAAACAGCACTGGTCCCAATTCGGACCCCTGAGGGACACCACTCGTCACTGATCTCCATCTGGACATTGACCACTACCCTCTGCATGTGACCATCCAACCAGTTCCTCATCCACCCATCAAATCCATCTCTCCCCATTTAGAGAGAAGGATGCTGTGAGGGACCATGTCAAAGGCCTTACAGAAGTTCAGACAGACAACATGCCTAGCTCTTCCCTTGTCCACTGATGCAATCACTCCATCATAGAAGGCCACTAGATTAGTCAGGCAGGACTTGCCCTTGGTGAAGCCATGCTGGCTGTCTCAAATCGCCTCCCTGACCTCCTATGCCTTAGCGTAGCTTCTAGGAGGATCTGTTCCATGATCTTCCTAGGCACAGAGGTGAGACTGACAGGTCGGTAGTTCCCAGGATCTTCCTTTCTACCCTTTTTTAAAATGGGTGCAATGTTTCCCTTTTTCCAGTCACCAGGGACTTCACCTGACTGCCATGACTTTTGAAACGTCACGGAGAGTGGCTTGGCAACTACATCAGCCAATTCCCTCAGGACTCAGACATTTCAGACAAACTTGTTTTTCAAAATTCAATAACAGATTTTTTCAGGAACAAAATCATGGTGGTCCAGCTCTACTGGTTCTTCCTTAGAGGAGGAAAGGGCATAGAAAAATGGTTTGAAAACCCAATGTGAAGAGAGACATTAAAAAAAAATTGTAAGTTTCTGTTTACTCTCACACCAAACTTCTGGATATTTACTTGTCTGATATACAGCAAACAAGCAAATTTCTGGCAAGTCTGTTCAGAAAATATTGAATAAATGCATGAATAATTACTGTTGGTGACAGAATCTCCATACTCAGCTTGATCACTTTTTCTTCACTCGTATTTTTACCTCATCTAGGCTAGACTTGTGCAAATTACTTTAAATTTGATGGATAATGTCTTTACAAAGAAAAAGATTACTGTTTCCCTAAAATAATACATTATAACCATAATGTTTGTGAGAATTTGCACTGATTACCTCATGACAGGTTGGAGAAAGTGGCTGAGCCCTCCTGAATCACTCAGAACTTGTCTATGGCTTTGGAATTTTTTTGTGAAATCTTTGGTACAGATGTTTCCACAGACCATGCGAAACTGAAAATCTCGATCATGTGCATTTAGGCATGTCATTTTCCTGGGGAAAATCTGACATAATGGCATCATGTTCTTGACTTATTCTGCTAGTGTCCACCATGGTAATGACTTCTTGTGGACACATGATTTATACATCCAATTCAATCACATGAGCAATCCTATAAAAGGTGCATATTTTCATAAAAGTCTAATAGGGGTAAAAATCTCATAGGGCATTTTAGCATGAAACTGGAAAATGAGTTGCTGTAGATATGTAATCTCTTCTGCTGAAGTCATCATAACTGTTCTGTGGGATCATGAATGACTATATCTTTAGGAAATTACATTTTATGCATTTAGGAAGGTGATGTCTAAGGAGATAGAAAGTATATGGCTGTATAAAATAACATGTAGATTTTTGAAGGAACTATAAAATATTAGCCCTATGAGCAGGAAAGACCTGTTTATCATGTTATCAGGTCTTATGCAGGATAAAGTGTTTCAGTAATCCTCCTAGCGTACTTTAAATATCTCAAGCCATAGTGCTTTTAAAAGTACTTCCTTTGAAAAATTGTTAAACTGTACCAACCGATTGCTACTTGGCGTAAGTGAAGTTCTAACAGTGAGAAATATCTTTCTGGTATGTATCAAATTGATTTCTGTTGGCTTGAAAGAGGTTATATGCCCTAGCAATTTTCATGTTTTCTATATGTGGAGCATAGTTTTTTACATGAAATATAAAAAATGGCCAAAAATACATCAAAACATTTCTATTAATTCATGAAATTAAGAAAACCTTTTTACATTTTCTCCTGTCACTGATTCCATTTGCTTTATTACTTTCAGCCTCTAGCCCACAAACTTGGTGGCACAATCAACAAACCCCTTAGTGGCTGTTTCATCTCTGTTCTATTTGATTTCTCCACTCTGAGTAAATGATTAAGTTTTCATGCATTGGTTCAACCAAAATCTATGTTCACTCAACCACATCCTTTATTGATTACTTCTACTGCAAACAGTAGGCCAAGTGTGATATACATAATTGGACAGTTGTCAGGGGATGTGGGTGTTAACAGTCCTGTTTTCCCAATTGGAAACTGGAATCACCTTGATACACAAATATTCTGCACTGTTTCATTCTCATTCCTTGGACCGAGGAGTCCTTTTCCTCAGAATATATGTTTTTAACTCTCAAAGGTCTGGTTGAATGGATTTAATGATTATACCATATAATATGCTCTTCAAGTTGCACCTGTGCACTGCATATAGAAAACTAGAAAAACTGGAATTAATATTTGTCTAACACTTTAACCTTGTCCTTTAACTTATATAAATCATATGCTGTATTTCTGTGGGGAAACATTTGATTTTCTTTTCTTAGGAGAAAAAATAGGTTTAAAAAAATGTATTTCTAATTCTAAAATTTAGAAGCCTTTTGGCATTTGTCAAATGTTTACAGTACAGTATATTTAATATTCTCATATTAAAATAGTTAAATTAGGAAACTTTAGTAAATCCAACTCTGCTTAGTGACAACTAAGCTTTACAGTCGCATAACCTTGAACATTTCAAGCATGTTAGTTTGCAATGTTTCAGCATCCTTTTGTAGCAGTCTAGCTCATCATGGTCACATACAGATAATCACTGCAATATTGTAAATTTGCAGCCATGTTTTGCTATGTTTTGTGTTCCATGGCAGGCTCTACCCTGTTATAATTACTCTGATAGCATAAGACAGGGAATTGCAGACTTCTGCCAGATTTTGAAAGCACATATCCCTAATATCGTTTATAATAAAAACCGTAATGTAAATAAACCCCAGTCAGTCATTTGCTGCAGGAATGTAACTCGAAGGTGTTTTAAAACGTTAAGAAAATAAATCACAATTCTTTATCACTAACAGGAAATTCTGTTTCTCTGGGTTTCTCAATTAAGACTGGATTTTCTGTCTTGCTTGGTGGCTTGACATCTAGCATGCTACACTCCTACATTAGTGACTCAAGTTCATGGCTAATATTGAGGTCAGCTGCAGTAACACTTCAGCCTTAAAGGGAAAAAGAGTGCAGTGCCTTACTCACAAGCAACCTAGGTGTCTGTCTGATATCTTGTAATCATACTGCAGAGATCTTATATTGATAATATGCCTGGCTTTATTAAAAAAAGGAAATCTGCAAGTGTTATTGTCAAAGTACATTAGTCAATTTTCAACTCAGATTCAGCCATGACCTCAGGTTGCTCTGATCTCACTGGGATTTGGGGGTGCCAACTGCAATCCACACTTTATAGGTTTGCCTGTGTGACTTGACCAACCTTTGATCCACCCAGCCAAAGTGCAGTGTTACGCTCAGGGAAAGGCTGTCAGCCCCAGCACTGAGAGACAGCCCCGGCATGGACCTGCTGCTGCACCGCCGGGCTTCCAGAGCAGGGAATGGCAGCTCGGAATGACAGGAGCACAAAAAGGCTTACTGCAAAACTAGCCTTCTTACTGCCTTCCCCTATTTTGTCAGGATGTGAGGTCCGGCTGTATTGACAATGTTATCAGCTGCTCAGTAAAAAAAATATTAAAATGATAGAAACTCCAAAACCCCTGTAAAATCATCACCTGCGTTTTCATTCTTGGTCTTAAAATATGGCACAATATTCTGAAGAGGAATTTTGTTTTATTTCGCTCAAAGGATCCAGTTCTGCCCTCAGAGGTTCTGGGTAGGCTGATCTCGTTGGTCTCAGCACAGGTAGTGCCTAGACAACCGTTTTGGAAATAAAGTCCAGTCATGGAGGAGTCATCACAAAGTAAAGTTACTTCAGAACAGGGGGACAGATCTTCAGCATTTGGAGAAACCATCTGAGTGAATATTTAATTTTGTCCCTGTCCTTTGCTTCAGTCAGGGAAGAGCAGCTGAAACTATTAAGTACTTGGGAGAGTTTATGAAGGTTGCGGAGAACGCTCACCTAAACCAAAGCGTCGTGGATGCACGTGTATTGCTTGGGAATATTTACAATGAAAGAGTAAGTACTGGTTATACTAATGGTGTCAAACAATTGGGTTTAGTGCATGGTGAAAATCTGTTTTTTCATATGAGATGACCCAGAAGGATTTCATCCAGGTATTGTATCTTACAAGAGTTACCAAAGGAGAAGATACTGTGTGACTAAATAAAATATACCTGAAGTTTTTTGGGAAAAGTGAAAATTTCACAACATATTTAACACATAGGGTTTTGTTCTAGAATGGGTAAATAAAAACTCCAAATTCAGATCACAAGAAGCTTTCAGTGTTGTGAAAAATCTGCATCCAGATCACCATTGGGGCCACATATGCCCATAAAGAGTCATTAGTTAACACAAATGAAATTTTATTGTACTATACATTGAAATTTGTGCTTTTTTAAAAAATGAATGTATACTGAATTGCATACTAATAAGCGGTTTTTAATCTTAGCTTGATTTCTTCTCTACATTCTGTCAGCCAAATTTACGAAATGGGTGCTAGCAGCAAAGAGTTTGGCAAAGGTCTGTGTTGATAGTAGAAGGGCTTTCTCTTCTATATGCCTCCATCCAGCCTGATGGCTTTGATTTGGCCTGTTTAAATCAATAGATAGGCAGTGACAGACAATATTAGCTAGAGGTAACTAGGAAACTCCCTTTATCGTAGTTCCTAAGGTCTTTTGAAGTGCTTCTTTCTGACCCATGTGCCAGTCCCTCTGGGGTGGACCCTGCAAAGGCAGCGGTTCTGTTGGCTGCCAGTCTGGGTAGGGGTTTCCTTGCTTACTCTGTCCCTTACTGAATCTAGAGATGCAGCACTTGCACTGCAGTAGCACTTGGCTTTTGAAATCAGAAGGGTTAAAACCATTACTGCAGAAGTCAGATTCATATTGAGCCCTTTAACACCTATTTTAGAGCTGAAATGCTACATGAAATTATTTAGATACAGTAAGTAATAAAAGGAATTCATTCTGCAGACTAGACAATGTGGAAATTAGGAAACATTTTCACTATGAACAAAATAAAAATAGAAATACCCTTCCAAAATGACCCTTTCTATCTTCTGTTGCCTGGGTTTTTTTTGTCAGAATGTCTTTTCTATGTGTAATACATTGAACAGGCTACCTGCCCCTTTTCACTTGCACTACCCCCAAATGCCTTTTTTTTTTTTTCCTGGATTCTTATTACAGAGAACTCCCACTACCAAAGCTGCTGTCCCATTTTTGTTTTATAAGTAGTAGAAAAATTTCTTACTCTGTAATCTCTAAATTAGCCTGACAGTTTTCTATTTACTTATGTTCTTAGCATAAATGCCAAATTTCCCATTGAAAACTAAATTCTAAAGTGTTTGAGAGCTCACTGAAGTAACTTTAAAATGGACCTGAAACTTAGAAGAAAGTAGGGCAATGTGACGCTGCCCTTAATTTTTCTACTTCGAATTTGAAAAATAATTAACTGAATTCTGTTTAACAAGTTTTATATTTCACTGCTTCTGCCACCATTGCTAATAATCAATTCTATGAGTACTGAAATTTTAAGAATTAACATCTTTTTGGTCATTCTCTGTATTCTCTTTCTCAGTTCAGTATTTGCTGCCTTGAATTGGGGTAATGGTGTAGAAGAGATGTGGTGACTTAATCTTATTAACTTTTATAAAATATGTAATTTAAACATACCAAAAAAAAATCTTTTAAAGTTTTACAATTCCCTATTTTCTATACTATTTGTTCTGCAAGGTCAGCAATGTCTACCAAACCTGAGTCTAAATTAACAGTTCCTCTCTTGGATCGCTGCCTGCTTGGTGTCAGCTGTCATCGCCGGTATTCTCTAAGTCATTATTAGGGTATTTTTATTCAACTCTGTACTTCCCTCAGTGATACAATTTGCAGTAGTACTGTCCTTGTCATCGAATTAAAGATATCGCTACTTATATCCAGATCTATCCTTGGGGACCTTTAGCAAACCAGGGATATAACTTTTCCTGTTCTTCCCAAAATGACTTCCACCAAATTCATTTTGCTCTGTCCACGCTCTTTCTGTGTCTTTGCAGTTCTGTCATCTCACTATTCCATCACCATCACTGTCTTTCTTTGATGCTGTACACTCAGTTCCTGCTTTCTAGTCATGGTTGTTTTACCCATATGTTTCTTGTTTCCTAAAATGCCTGGATTTGTGTTATGTGCAAGTATTAGGTCTAATTTCTCCCAGTTTGTTAAGCAGGTTGCTTACTTAATATGCAAATTATAATGCAGTTAGCATGACACACTCTGTCATTTCTCATTTCACTTTTCTCAAGTTTCTTCATCTGATTTGCTGCATTCCTCTCACTAATTGCATCACTTAACCTATTATAGTTCTCATGAGCATGGTAGGTAGATGTTTCTGCTTTTTATCTATTATCCTACTTCTTATCGTTCTCTATTCACTGCAGTGTCTTCATAGGCCCAATTCTGCTCTCCTGCTTTATTAAACAAAGCCTCAACCTACCTGAATTTCTATTACTCTTTTCTCCTTTTTTAATTACAGGCACATTTTAGCAGTTGTACAAATTTTGATCCCAAAAAGTGGTGTCAAGTGCAACAGGTATCTATTGGAGTCTCTCCTCCTGCTCTCTATGCAGAAGGGAATTTCAATCTTACTAAATCAAGCTGAGAGTGAAAGGATAAGACAGCTCTGAAAATGTTTTCAGTCTGAAAGTTTGTGCCATCAGGGCAGCAGAATTCCACACCAGTGGGAGAAATGGAACGCATCTTCCAGGGAGCAGGCAGCCTATAATAAGTGTTAATGATAGACATACAGAAACTGCCACAAGAAGTTTGTCTAGCTCTGACAACAGCCAGAACTAATTCTTGCAGAGTAAGGTAAACGATAAACAGTTCCATAATGACTTGCTCCCAGGAAGACCTTTTTTTTGCCTTGTCTTGTTTGTTGATGATTTTGTTTCCCCCACAAGGAAGTCCAGCTTTTTTCTTAGTAGGCTTGTGATCAAGATTGTCATAAATGATCCATTAAGAGGAGAAAGCTGTCTGTAATTATTTTTAAATTTCTTACTCTTCAGTTATATTCAATTCATCCCTATTCTTCTATTGTAGTTGGTAGTAATTTTCAGGCTATTCCTGGTTTATATTTGCTGTTTGGCATATATTTACTTTATCCAGTTTTATTAATACACTCTTTATTTCCATGGATTGTATCTACTCTAGCTTTCTCCACTGCATTCTTGATGCATCCTAATATTTTGTTTGACCTTGCTGTTTTGCATTTAGGAGAAGCCACTGCAGAGCTGCCCATGTTATTTCAAGGCCACCTTCCTGAGCCTGAGTTGATTAGAACCCACTAAAAGTTACAAGTAGCTCATGCAGTATGAATTACCTCTCATTTTTTAAAGAATTAATTTCATTTGCTATCACATAACCACTCAGGTAGTATTATTAGGTCCCTTTGAAATTCCTCAAAACCTTGCAAAATCCTTCCTTTTTTACTTTTCTCGACAATCTTGGCAAAATTGTCATCTGATTCTTTTTCTATAATAATTAAACATTAGGTAATACTGATACTAGAGCATAAAGTTATTGCACACTGCCACGTATAATACCAACACAAAATGTACTACCTTTCAAACCTGGATTATACTGCCTCATTTTAATGAGAGAAGTAATTTATTTCCCAACAATTCAATCTCTTTGTCTTTAGATTTCTACAAATCTTTTATTTATACTCTATTCGGGTCTGGTGGTATGCTACTTTTTAAATTAGAAGCTTGCTCCTGCAACTTTTCTTTTGACTCCATCTCTGATGGTAACTCAAAGTAGCTTCATGGCAAAGAAATATGCAAAAGATCAAGAAATATGCCAAGAAATATTTTAACTTTTCAACAGTATCCTTCAGCCTATCATGATTTTCCCTGGTTTTCTCTATATTTCTCTTCTTTCTATATCTCACATAAAAAATAGCTCTTGTTATACTTTTTTTGATTCCTTTTAATGTATTACCTGCTGTAGTTTATACTCCTTTTTACTGGATTCATTAATGTTGGATTTCTGTTTTCTGCATGATAAAGAGATACATTTTGGGGGTTTTCTATTTAGCAACACTTGGCTTATATATCTCCTACTGTTTCTCTTTTTGTGATTAGGAATATCCCTGATCTTTGATATATGCCTTCCTCCCCCATAAATCTGTAGGTTCTAATTTCTGTTCTTTTCTGTGCTTTAGGTCCGTAATTTCATTATCCTCTTTTTTCCATTTTTGAGGTTTCTTTTCTAAAATTTAGTATGACAATAGTAAATTAGGACTTTTCCTCCCACAGAGATGTTAAACTTCATGAAACAACGGTGATAATTTCTAAATGGCCTGGCTGGAATCAGTATTAATACTTAGCATTGATATACTGAGATTTGCATGTTCAAAATACTACACAGACAACCAAAAAACAATTCAGCTCCTGAGAAAGACATGAGCAGTGTTATCTGGATTTTAGAGGCTAGGAAACAGCAAGGGAGAGTGATTTGCTTAATACCATGCCATGAGTCATTCTGTGGGCTGGCCTCTCAGCTGCAACATCTCTGAGGTGCCAGAGGAGCAGGCTGTAATGTCAAGGTAAAATACAGGTGACTACAAGTAGTTTTTACAATTCTTTTCTTTTTTTTCTCTTCTTTCCTAGGGGAACTATAACGAAGCTTTTGAATATTTCAGTCAGGCTTCTGAGGCAGCAAAAACTTCAAATAATTTGCCCTTAGTGGATGAAATAAAGACTTATTGTGGCATTGCAAAGGCTCATAAACTGATGGTGGCATTTAACAGCCATATAGAAGCAGAAGATCCCATCAACCTCAAGTACCTGCTGGCATGGAAGGAGAACAGAAGTGACATGTGCACTGACCCTCTTACAGTCGGTAAGACATTGGTTATGAAACACATTAGTGCTGTATTGTCCTCAACGGTTAAGTCGTTTTTCTTGTAGAGTTTTATTAAATTATTTCCTGAGTTTAATCCTTCTACTGAATGGAGGTTAGATTTACTCCTTTGTGTGCTTATTTTAAAGGCTGAATTAAATAGGTTTAAATACAATATAGCAGGGAGAAACAGATAATAGTGGTTGCTATAGATGGTAACTTACTTTTTTCAGTGCTGTTTTCCAAAACATCACAGTTACGGGCAAACCATGATGTATTAGTTTAGTCAAATATCATTATTTTAATCTTTAAAGAAAAAAAAATAATAATCTTAATATGCAGTCAATTTTTCAAGTGTATCCAAAAATAAGTTCCCTGTTAGTAAAAGTAAGAAGTAATTTCTGCTTGACACAGTAGACATAGTTCTGAATTCAGAAGTAATATGCTGTTTTATTTTTGGCATCCTTATACTTGACATTAGAGGGAAGGAAAAAAGAAAAGTGTCTCCATGATTTCTTCACCATGTTTCCTTGTCTCAGATAAAGAGTAGGGGAGGACTTTGTTTGGAATAGACCTCTTTCTTCATGTGTTAAATTCTTTACTTTTTTTCCCCTGTACCATACGCTAATACAATAGAAACTGAATTATGCATTATCTCCAAGTATTGATAGTATTAAACTGTATTGTACTGGGGAAGGAAAAGGGCTAAGTCTACTCCACCTTAAAACTTTCCTGTCTGCATTCCTGTGGAGAGTGTGAATCTGGAGTACAGCGGAAGTAAATGGCAGTTGGGGCAAAGTCATAATGTGGAGCCTCAGAGTTACTGTGTTCAAATTCCCTCAGTTATCATACTCTCAAAGACAAAGAAATGCTTGTCTGCTGTTTTCTTATGTATCTTTTCCTTTCATAGAATTGGAACAATTAAGTATAACTTCATACAAAATAAGTAGTTAATAGCCTGGTAACTGAAGATGTTAGCAGTTTAATAGGAGTCAGGATACCAGAGGCAACACTGGAAGCAATTGAGAATTGTGGAACGAGGACATTCATTGGTGTGCTGAAGAGATAAAACATTAGATAGCACTCTGTTTAGAGTTCCAGTAATGGTAACAGGGCAGTTCTTTCTCAATGATAATGTTGTTCTTTTTCAATGATTCTATATATTTATGAATTTTGGCTCAATAAGTGAATATCCAGCATGCTCGCAGATTTTATTGACTGGCAGACTTAATTAGGTACATGTATCCTGCAAGGGATAGTAAGTTTCTAGACCTGTAGTGCAGATGCCAAGAATTCCAACAGAGATGGTCAAAGAAGAATCTAATGTCAGGCAATTTTATATGTATTTTGTACGAGGATCATTAGCTGTAGCTGATGTAAATAGGAGGCCAACAAAAATCAACGATGGCAACAGCAAAAAAACCAGGAGCCTCAAAGAGACAGGATGATCTCTATATCTTCAACATGTACTTTACTTCTTGCACCTGAAGACATTTTCTGTTCAACTTTTATGCATTGCTTTCTCCAGCTGGTTGTGAAACTCATTAATATCCTGAAATGCTATGTGCCCCTTTAAGCTCAAGCTTCATGCTCCTCTTTAGCAGTACTTCAGGGATAAAAAGAGTATGATTAGAAAAGCCCTTTATGTCCTGGCAAGTGTGGTACCAGAAACAAGTTTTGCCTGCTGAGATTCTTTTCCTTCTGTATTTCTGCCTAGTTTACTCTCTGTTACTTTCGGTATTACAATTTTCATTTTAGTTCCAGTTAACTCCAGGAACCCTGTGGCTACTGCATATTTAGCAGTTCTTCCAGTTCAATATCATTCTTCTCATTAGCGCTCCAAGCTTACTCTCATGATACCCAGATTACATCCAGGAAAACATAGTGTCACACTGTCAGCACAATCTGCAACATTCTTCATGTTTTGTGTGCCAAATCTCTCATTAGTACTGGCATTACATTTTTAATATCTTTGTCTGGCAAAACGTGACCTGGCACCAATTCAATATTAGGATTCACCAGCTTTGAGTTTCAGGTACAGCCTTTATCCTACCTTCCAGGAGAATGTCTGTGCATCCTATGATGAACTCATCACTTTGGAATGCTGTGATAATAGAACAGTATTTCTAACTCTTTCAAACAGCTCAACATTGATAATCTGCTAGATTTTTCTCAGTCTTTTTGAGGATAAAACAGCTAAAGACAAGATACAATGGTAGTTATTAATCCACAGGGGAATTTAATGAAAGGAAGGTAATAAGTTTTTGTTTCTAACTGTTCTGACTGAATAATTTTTCTTTGACAAAAAATAAGAGTAGTTTCTGTATTCTTAGGAAAAATAAATACTTAGGCTAGTGGAGGAACAATGACATTTAAATTCGAGTACTGCCATATACCTTATGTCTTTCAACCAAGGCTTATTTTCTAAATCAATCATTTCAATAACCAGGCAGGAAGAACCATTAATTACTCAATTTACCTCAACATTTATTAATAAAATGGGTGTTTTGACCAAAGTTGTCATGGACAAAAGGGATAAGATTTTCAGAAGACAGTGTTTATAAGTGCAAAGGAGAATGTGTTTCTATCAGCTGCATTTGACTCGGTCACCTGACTTCACTTACAAGAGAGTTATTTATGCCATTGTGAGATGCCACTGCAAGAATAATTATGTTTTTATTGATCTTTCTATGTTTAGTCAAACATATAAAAAAAAATTATCAGCAGAATCGGTAGGCAAAAAGGCTTGTGAGTCCATGTTAAAGCCTAAAAAGGAACCCACTACATGATTAACACGGTCTGATGAGAAAATATTTCACAGGTCTTTTAATAAATAGTCTCCTGACTTGCTACCTTCTAGAAGGGAGAAGAATAATTAAAGGTGCTGAAGGCAGGAATATTTTGGATCAGATTTTGGATATTGATTACATGAAATGCTGACCAGGAATTGCATTTTCTGTGAGTCTGGCAACTCTCAGTCCAGGGCTGTGCCTCAGCAAGAGACTTTGGATGCTTGAAATCGTCTAAACACTTTTAAGAGTAGACTTAAAATGTATTGTTTTCCTCATACTAAAAAGTCTTCGGTTGTTTTCTTGAGAAATGTTATGTGCTTTTGACCACAGTTTAGACTTAGTTTTTTTTACTTTGGAGGAGTTTGCAAAATGGACACATTTTACTATAGGTTTTCTGTGTTTGTTTTGTTGGGTTTTTTATAATAGCAACAAAAGCAACATAAATGATTGTCTTATCCATATCGTCAGTTGTGAAGTCTTATGATCACTGGAATTATCTTGTACCATCAACTTCAGCATGATTGAGACTATTTCTAGCATTCATCACCTGAGCAGCCTTCAACATGATTTAAAATGCATGCACCAGCTAAAACTATAGCTTGGAAATTACAATCCAGTGAGCTTTTGTTCTTACTCTCAAATATGCAGTCCCTCAATATTCTTTCTCCAGCTCCCTCTCATAGATGTATGGAATGATACATTCCATAATGTGAATGTGTCCTTTTCGTTGTGTAGAATGTTAAATTGTTATCCTACCAAGTCACATTTTTAAAAGCTCTTTAAGACGTTTTGTAGTCGTTTTTCTGTAAAAGATGTGGCTAGCACAAAGTTGTTAATGTGTTGAAGAGCAGAGATCTTGCCAGGTGCGTTTTAGATTGAGCTTGTGTGTGACTTTGTCATTCATTAATAAGAGGGTTATCCCTAAAGAATGGTAATGTCAGAAGTGAGATACGACATGAACGATTACACTAAACAAATTCTGTTAACATTTCTCTACTATAACTTACCACAGCCATGTAATTTATGGGCCATTTTGGTAATAGTGTCCAACAGTAGAACAGTCTGCTTCATAACGTGATAAACTGCTTTTTTACTGTCTCTTCTTTCGGAAGTACACCAATTCCAGAAAAACTTCTAACATTACAAATCTTGTCTTTCCTCTATTAATAAATTATGTTAGTTACCTGAAAGGCATGCTAAATTGTTATGCCATGGCACTGTACCCAAAACGCTTGACTGTACCAAATGCTTGACTTAGCAAACCAAAACCAAGCTTCGTCAAAAATGCACATTATAAATAATACTTTGTATTTGCCCAGTAAATGTTCATCGGTGGTAGCAGATTTTTTGATCTGAGAACATTTAAGAGAAGGAAAAAATGTAGTGCACTGATAAAAACTACAAAAATAGCAAATCTTTTTATCTTACACAGATATACATAAATAAAATAGTTCTTATATGACGTCAGTGGAAAGGTAGAGGCTTGTGTTAGCAGGTTCCTTTCACTGCATATTTCATATCTAAAGCTCCGTCATAGATTTTGGAGTATCATGATACTGATGTGGGATTAGTGGAATTGTGCACATGCATGAGCTCCCTCAAAACCACTATTTGTGTGGCTGTTGTTTGACTGATTTATCACTTAATAAGGTCTATTCTGCAGTTAGGATGTACAGGAGGCAAATATATAGGCTTGTATGGTGACTGAAATTAGCATGCAGTCTTAATATTTTCTTTTAACATGTTTCTTCGTGATAGTATATTAGTGGGTTTTGTAACTAACTTGTTGAGTAAAGATCATTAAATGTATATGCTGTCCATGACAAAGTAGCTAGACTGAATTTGAATGGTCCAAACTATGATTTTCTTCCCCATCACTGCTCTAAAGATGGGAATGATTCAGACCCTCGTTTTGAGAGGCGGAGAGCATGCCTGTGCCTCCCAATGACCTTCTGGGCCCTTTCTCCTTCTCAGCGATCTGTTCACCGTGTAAGAGTCTGGAGATGGGATCTGTAATGGACGCCGCTTCAAGCTCTATATGCTTATGATATATGTCAATAGCAAGTTTTACAAACCGAGAGTTTATTTAGTTTTTCAGAATATATTGTTAATATGACCAAAAATAATGGGATATTGAAAGGATTTTGGAAACAGATTTTGCTGTTTTCTCAGAAAATACAACTGAACATAAGGGAAAAAATAAGGGAA